TAGCTTGTTAAGTATGTTAAGATTTGCTATTGATTTTTCTTTGGCTTTGCTTTATTTGTAATTGTTACCCTGATATGGTGTTGTCTTTTCAATAAAGAAATAGAAAAAAGATAGATTATAGACTATGGTATGTTGTAACCTTAAAAAGAGAAAGTAAAGTATAAATTTTAACTCTCTTAAGAAGACCAAATGTTTATTTTTTCTTCTTTCCTTTCCTGATTTCCTTTCCTTTTCTTCTTTCCCCCTTTTCCTTTCCCTTTTTTCTATTTCTTTCCATGCTTTCCCCCCTCCACTTACACTGCATTTATTAGTTTACTTTCCTTAGTTTTATCTTTCAAATTTTTTATAACTGTCTGTCTGTCTGTGTGTGCATGTGTGTGTTTCAAGCTGCCTGTGGTATTGGGTGGGGATCAGATGAACTCCTGTCCTGGAGACAGGACAGGAAAAAAACAAGGTTGCCATGAAATGTTTATCTTGTAGCTAGGTACAAGTGGGGAAAGGCCCTGGGACACTTCCAAAGGAATGAGGAAGAAACCTTTCCCCACTTGCACCTAGCAATTCAGAGCACTTTCAAGGTGCAGAAGGTTTAATTCATTTTGCTATCAGCAGTGCTGTCAAAAGGAATTGGGCCAATACCTACTACCCATTTCAGGCTGAGACAAACAAACTGCCTCCTCTGGAACCTGTGGAGTCTTCCATGGGGCCTTTCTCTTTTGGGGAGTTGGAAAACCTGGCTCTTTCAAACTGGATACACTCCCACTACCCACCATTTCCCAGGTGGATATCTGGTGGGCTCCAGGATAGTTAGAGTTGCCTTGTTAAGAGAGAGAGGGAGAGGCATACTACACACACACACACACATGGATGAGCACAACATGAAGCTTACTTTCAAAACAAAAACACCCACCATTTTGTATTTCATATTTCTAAACCAACCATCTCCTTCAAGGAACAGATTTCCCCCAGCAATTCTCAATGCATTTAATCCACTGTAAAAAAAACCAGCCTGATCAGCAATCTAACAGTCTGGGCACAAACCTTTGTTGAAAGATGCCAAAGTTCAGAAATCAAGGCATTTCTCAAAACCATCCACTAACCCTGCCCCAAGCAGAAACTGAGGAGCCCACCTTTTAGAAATGCAGATTTGGTAATCCATTCAGAAAGACTGGGTCAGGCAGAAACTCAGATAAGCAACAAGCCAAAGTTTGACAAATTAAGTACAAACACCTAGGATTTTCATTTCCCCTTTTGCCTATAGAGGCAGTTTAAGTGTCCCCAGTGGAGACAGCAGATTTTATCCTGGTGAAGTTTTTGTCAGCAAAAGAGATGTATAGCACTTCTGAGAAAAACCCTCAGGCATGAGCTCCATTCTTGTAGACATTGGGGGGAACAAGGAGAAACCATGTTATAATAGAGTATTAAATAACAATGTTCTTTTTTATATACTGAGCTAAGGCAAAAATGAATAAAGTTTTGTATGAAGCTTGTTTCACCATTCCTCATTCATAAAATATCATGATTAGGGTTACAGTTAGGATTTCTCCGTGTCTAAGTTTCCTATCATGTGTTCTATGTATTCTTAACACCAGTGGTGGTGGGGATCCATTAAGAGGATGAAAGACTGAATAACTGAAGTGTGTCTTTTAACTAATGATGCCAGGAATCCTCATTTCCTTGAAACTTACTCATATGCTTTATCTACCTTTGATCCTGCAGAAAACAGAGGGAGAGCATGTTGGGAGGGCAAGTTACAAATCATACAAATGGTTGCATTTATATTTCTAATGCAGAGATTCTAATGGAAGTGTGGCATTTCTAGGATGATTTCATTGCACTCACAGCATCGCTTTGGTGCCATCACAATTTGTTATAGGCTCTTTCTTTCCTCTTTTATCTGTCACCTGAGTTTGCCCTGGTGAGTTTCCACTCACCAACAAGAGCATCCTGAGAGGTGTGGCTTCCTTCTATTTCCCAACTTTTGTCTAGAAAGGTGCAGTGCTGGCAAATTAAGCTGGGAGATTGCTGATGTTCCTGCTGTCTTGAAATGGCAGGCAAGACTTTCATGTTCATGTGGCTGAGCCAGCCTTCCTGCAGTTGATCTTTAGCCTGTCCATCATTGCTTTCTGGCATTAACTCATGGTCAGAAAGGAGAACCAACCCTTTTGCAGAACTGTGGGATCTCTCTTATTGTCATTCAGGGAAATAACATGATGTTGGCTTCCCAGAAATGATGGTTGTGCCACATAACATGCAAATTCATGGTTTGTCGTTTCTTCCTTGAATAAATCAAGAACCACTGTAGCATCAACAGGTTCCACAGGAACTTTATGGAGAGCCTTCAATCCAAAACACAAATTACTTACCATTACAATCTCATGGCCTTCTATGCAAGTCACCTTCACAGAATCCTTAAAGACATAAGAGTCTCTTAGGGGATGCTGAACAGATCTTGAAATAACAGTCTGTGGACAGGGCATTGCTTTAAAAAGGGAAAAGGGTATCAGAAATCAATGACCTTAAGGTATACAAACATATACAAGCACACACACCTGTCCCCTTTTCTATCACCAACAGTCAGAATCAGCACCAGTAAAAGTCTTGAGTTTGGCCAGTACTTCACCCTTTCTTCAATGAGACCAAGTATGCTTTCTTGTCCTAGCATTTTTGAATAAGGAGAAAGAGGAAAGGAAGGGTGTGATCTACCAGAATTGCAAAGCTTTCTGCTAAAATCTTCTTGCCTTCCAAACTGATCTTGAAAACGAGCTCTCTCTATATATAACATGGATTCCTATTCTTTTTTATTGAGATGATTTTGTTTTATATTTTCTAACTTAATGCAAAATGGGGAAGGAACTGATAATGTAGTAGTAATGACATATTACTACTTCGCATAGTCCAGTTTTGAAGGAAATTCCATTCCAAAGCATTGCACAATAAACATCCTAGATACGATATTGCATTTTTCTTCTGCTCCTGGTTTTAGTGGACCTGAGTTGGGGTTAACTACTCCAAACCAACTCAAAAGTTTTTTCATCTACAGTCAAAGAAAGCTCCTAGCCCCCATAATCTACCCATTCACAATTTGTCCAGGACAATATGTAATTAACTCAAGAAGAATTCTTATAGACAACATTCTTTTCTGCTGATAGTAACTCATTTACCATTCTGCAAATATCATCCTTTTTTGTTTGCTCCTTGGAAACAAACATTTGTCCTGTTATAACAATCCAATTCCCTACTTCAGCACTTGAATTTGCCCCATTGTTTCCTCAGAAGAGCAATGTTCCCTCTAATTTTTTTTCAGTTTGAGCGGAAAAGTATAGTGTTTGAGCTGCACAGTTTCATGCCTGAGCACCTAAGAGAGCAACAGTTTGAACTGCTATTACGTCTGCTGGACATTTGCGCAACATTCCAAGCGTCAAGCGCCGATTGTGAGCGAGGTTTCAGCCTGAGGAATGCCAGGCATGAAAAGTGCCACTCAAACACTATACTCTCCCCCTTTAAAGTAGTAAGATCAATTAAATGGTCTAGCAAGTTTGGACAATATGCTATATGTTATGTTACTTAAGAATATATATACCTCAGAATCAGATACAACATCCACATCATTCCCAACTGAGTCAATAAAATCATATGCCATGCCAAAACTATTTTAAATAAAGATATGAAATTAATCAAGTATTGCATTTATTTTTCAAAATGAATGTACAATTTTTTTATTATTTAAGTTTGGTACCCTATCTTTTCTAACTAACGTTAACTTTAAAAAGATGTTACATCAGACTACAATACAAGTAATTAAATGAAGACTAAAATGTGTTTTGGCATATTGAGCTTTTTATATTTCTTTCTTATATTGCTTCCTTAGTTGAGAACTTGCTCCTCAGCTTACTTACGCATTAACTGTTTGTTGCTTTTATGGTTTATTCATTCACTGCTCCATCTTCAGTTTTTTTCACAGGGGGCAGGGCTTCCTTCCTTCCTTCCTTCCTTCCTTCCCTCCCTCCCTCCCTCCACTCCTTTGGCCACCAATTTTGATCCAATTCGCAATTCGTATACTTTTTCTACCACCATCTCATCAAGCGGAATCACACACACACACACACGTTCTTTGGGGGGGGTGTTGAATTACTCCGCCTCACAGCAAAGACATGGCACAGCATGTGTTCGGCCCCCGCTTACGCCGAATCAAATCCACGGCCGGCGGGACCAGGGGGTTGCATTGCAAAGCCACCAGTCCTCTTGTTTCTTCTCCTTCTTCCCCCTCCGCTCAGAGCACCTCAGCTGGGCTCTGGGTTACCCCTGCCACCGCCTCCACCTCCACAGCTTTCCTACTAGCTCCCGCGGCCTCAAAAGCACGGCAGAGGAGGAAGGGGGAGGGATAACGCGGGGGCCAGCTCACGTGCTCCGCGTGGAGGGAGAGGCACCACTGCCATGGACGGCTCATCAAAACAAGTCTGGGGAGGTCCTTTGTGGGCAGCCAGTTCTAGCCGCCTGCAAAGGACTTCCCCACGTTTGCTTTGGTAGAAATCTCTGCGCGGCAGTTAGAAACTGCTGCACGGGGGTTTCTTGCCATGTGCGCGGCCGCGCAGCCGCGCACCTTAGAGGGAACAGTGCAGAAGAGATCTACTCACGGTCCCCAAAATAGCGGATTTTCCAGCCTTTCATTTGTACAACTTCATCTGTTTTGAAGAAAATGTCCACAGTGTTGCTCTTGGTGTTGATTTTAGGAGGCCCAGGAAATGTACTGCCACAATAAGGACCAAAATTCTGATCCCCTGCCGAAACCTACAGAACAGCAAGTAGGAATATTGGAGAAAGGTTAAAAAAGAAAAAGAAAAAGAAGCATTGTAATAAAGGTAGTCCCCCAAATTACAACAGTTTGTTTAGTGACCCTTCAAAGTCATAACAGCATTGAAAAAAGTGACTTATGACTGTTTTTCACACTTACAAGCACTGCAGTATCCCCATGGTCACGGGATCAAAATTCAGACGCTTGGCAACTGACTCATATTTAGGATGATTGCAGTGTCCTGAGGATCATGCGATCCCCTTTGCAAGCTTCTGACATGCACAGGGGAAGCATGATTCATGGTTTAATAACCATTAGTGTTACTAATTTAGAAACTGCAGTGATTCACTTAACAACTGTGAGAGAAAAGGTCGTAAAATTGGGCAAAATGTATTTAAGAACTGTCCTGCTTAGCTCAGTTGGGCTCAGTTGTGTTTATACATTGAGGACTCCCTGTAGTCAAAAGACTGAGGCAGACATTCCAGGTGTAAAATAAGCGTAAGGGCTGTCGGCTGAAGAATTAAAGATACAGCTAAGGATGCATTCAATATTAATGTACTGAGCAGCAAAATCTAAATAGAAGCAGGTTATTGATGTTATTAAATACGTTTAATGACATATCATGTAAGAATGTGCTAAGCATTTGTCAGTCCTCCCAGAGACTGAAAGAACACAGAATACTCAGAACAATCATCTTCCTACTCAATAACTGGATATGAAATATTGACTGGTCTGGATTTAGTCCTAAAAAGAAGATTGCTATTTCAATTAGAAATGCCATGGAAGAGTATTAAGTATCAGACGTCAATATTCCACTCACTTTGTTCTCCTAAAATGTCTTTAAATATTTGGTAGAGAAGAATGTTAATGGGTTTGCTTCATTCCCTTAATGAAGCAACTGCTTTCTCTGGCCCAGTCTATTATTACTATCCTGAATTTTTACTGATTTTTTTTTAATTCAAATAAAAAGAGACACCAAAGAAAAAATTTTGTTCTTTGGTTTCTTTTCCCTGATTATTTAAGAATTAGCACAGAATGCAAGAAACATAGATCTTGATATAAAAACAGAATTTAATCACTTCTTACTGAATAACTAGATACGAAACGCTGCTTAGATCTTTGTTTCCTTTTTTCCTGAAGGGCTTGAAAACTTCATTTTTTTCCTGGAGTTTTTAAGCTGAGCATTAGTCAAAATGGTCTGAAATATCTATAAGAGAGCTAGATGTGTGAGTTCAGAGTCCCAGACACAATCTTTACTATGTATTTTATGTATGAAATATCACGCTAGTAATATTGTGTCAAAATACAATTATCACTCAGTTAGGCACATGAAGAAACAGTGAAACCCATAATATCCAATGTGTTTACTAGATATGACAGTAAGCCAGTAATCCTTTGGTGGTAAACTAAGAAGTGATAGAAAGTTTTGTATGTTGGGATACCAATAGCACTACAATACAATATTTAAATCTGCATTCATTTGCAGGAACCGGGTTTTAACAATAAATAGCCATCGTTTGAGCATAGAAATATCTTGACTCCTTTTTATTTGATTTCTGCAAAAACCCATTATTCACTGAGTGAGGATAAGAGAAATCTGAGAAACCTTGCTGGAATTAACTATACATGTAGAAGGGGAGCTTCAGTTGTGATTCCCTCAAAGTGTGTTGACTTTGCTATTAATTTTTAGAGTTGTTATTTGATTTCACTGTAATCTATCTGCTCTTGAACTGAGACCCAGAGATGATCTTTTAGCATCCTAAATGAAAATTGTCTCTATTTATAGAAGATCACTAAAACATCTGGAAAAAGAAGAATGAACAGGAGGAGAAAGGGAATTTCTAAGGCAACAGAAGCAAATCTTTCCAACAAGGTCAAGAGTATACAAGTGTCCTTCTGTTGCACATGTTGAAGTTCAGTCCATTTATGTAGACCTCCTTTCCCACTTCTAATTTTATTTAGCAGGAGAGCAAAGTTGAACACACTGCTGGGAAAGCAAATTTGCCACGTTCCTGCTCAGACATTCTACACTGCTACAATTCATACATTCCAGGACTTCAATGGATTGTAAAAGTCAAGTCAGCCCCTCATTTTCATAAGGAACAAAGTTAGGATGCAGTCTAAACAGGAAAAGTTCATAATCAAGAACCATCACAATCACTTACTCTCAAGGCATCTGGGCAAGTTCCTTCTGAGTCACTTGGCTCAACTTCAAAGTCGTTGTTCCCAATGCTCAGGATCACCTGGTATCCTGGTTCCAGGATGACATGGTAATCACAGTGGGAGTTCTCAGCATATGGCCTGGGATAGTTGGGGCTGGTAATTTCCCCAGACAGCTCGGTAAATACATTCCCACTGCAGTTCACTAGAGTTTAGAAGAAAAGCAATGGCAGAAAGAATAGAAATAATGTTGATGGAAGTCTGTGGTTACTATTTGGCTCTCCTTATGGTTTAAAAGTAGGTACAGTGAATTGGCAACAGCAGTGCTTTGGGTGATATGAAAGGGATATAATATTTTTACCAATCCATCACATATTTCATTTGAAGTTTCTCCATTTGAATTTCTTGGGCTTCTCCTTCTCAAGGTATTGTCTTAGGAGAAGAGGATATAGTTTATCAGAAGAACATATTCTCTGATATTAACTTCCTTGGTTAACTCCATACATTTTCTCTAAGTTCCCATCTCAATCATTTCTGAAGGAGGCTCATAAGAGAATGACCCATATTAGTTCAGATTTTTCCCCCTTAAAAATTAACTGTTGTCTAAGTTTTAAAGAAAACTTGCTCTGCAAATACTATATATAAGCCTTAATATAAGGCTAGATATCCATACACAATTTCTAAATGGGAAATCTCTGAGAAGTTCAGATCAACCATGGGGACCAGGCACTTACCCTAATCAACATGTGGACCCACACATGCATCAGGGCATACTCTAGATTTGGTATTCTAAGAGAACATTGTGGTGTGAGAATGAAGATCTTATGAGCTTTAAGCTGAATATTGGTAGGAAGGTTTTGCAGAGTCAGAGGACCAATTAAAAGGTCTATCTCAGACATTTCATGGACTCAAGTTTGTTTCCTGAATGTTCCTGCTCCTTCTGTTAGTGACAATTGAATAGGAAGCAATGAACTATGGACACTCTTGGTCCCATGTGACTGTTCAGTTCTCTTCTTTAATGGAGAACAAAACTGATGAAGCAGAAGGAAAGTGAGCCCAGAATTCAATGTAAGATGAGCAGCTGAATAAATGTTTTAAATAAATAAATAAATCTGAGTACAAATGAATGAAAACTCAGGAAGCTGAGATCATTGTGAAACTGTTGCAGCACATTTTGTAAATAAAGTTACTTAGTTTTACCTCAGTTTGGACTTCAGTGTAAGGATGTAAACTTGCATATTCTTGATTTTTAAAACCAAAACCGCTAGCTATCAAATATGACAACCCATCTATTCCTATATTAAAGTGTTGGGAAATTAGAGTCAGCAAAAGATGCCCTCTTCAACTTTCTATAGTCTGTTTGTCAGGTTCATAAGAGAAAGCCTCTGATGTTGGTTTCATACTAAAACGTTCATTTGTGAGTTGTGGCTAATTCTATACTTTCTATTTTTAGGAAATTCTTCTATGTAGTCAACTGTTTTCATTTTAAATTAACAATAATTTAATGAAATGTTAAGATTTTACTTCTTTGTGTTTTCATTTTATTTTTTACTGTTAGCTTTCCCCTTGAATGCAGATACAAATCAAATCTATTTCTAATCATGATGATGACAAATGTGCATTGTGATGTCAACAACACAAGCCTTATCCTTCTGCACTCACACAGTGGTTTTGGTTACAGAGAGGGAACAGTTATTTGAGAGACCACCTGCCTGCCCAATTTGATCATGCAGAGTTGGCACACTCTGGATACCTTTGATTAAACAATGTTATCTATTGGGAACCCAGGAGCATGCCTTCTCTGTAGCAGCACATGCCATCTGGAAGGAGGTCCCCACAGAGAGCCAGATGGCTCCCACTTAGCTGTTGTTTCGAAGAGCTGTGAAGCCCTGGCCCTTGGCAAAGGGGAGAGAAACTTCCCTCATTTCATTCCCTCTAGTCTGTCATGTTTGCCATTGTTTTATTGACTTTTATTGTAATTTCTTTGTTTGATTGTTGTGAACTGCCATAATCATTGGGAGTTGAGCAGCATACAAGTGTTATGACTATTAACATCACAATTAACGTTTTGTCACTGATTCCATGCAGGTGTATAATCTACAAGTCAATGAATGATACCTCCACAGGTCTTCTTATCTTCATGCAAGAAATATTCAGGAGGACAAGAGCAATAGTAGCCACCAATATAGTTATTGCAATAATGGCTACAGGCCTCTTCCACAAAATCTGTGCACTCATTCACATCTGTAAGAAAGGAAAAGTGATGTAGAAAAATCCTCCATGGAATAGGGGCAAAGATGACAGAAACAATAATTCACCACCCCAAGATTTTACCAGCCTGGCTTTGTCTCCTAGGGAATCCCAGTAATGTCTTTCCTAAATCCCGAGCCCTCCTTAACAGGAAATAGAGCAGAGGTGGTATTGAGACAGTTCTGACAGGTTCTGGAGAACCAGAAGCGGAAATTTTGAGTAGTTCAGAGAACCAGCTGGCCCTGCCCCTCGCTGCCTCCCAGCCTCCCAGCTGATCTTCTTTTGTTTCCCTGAACAGGAGAACAGAGCTGGAAAGCAGGTTAGTGGGGTGGGGAGGGAATGGGGATTTTGCAATATCCTTCCCCCAGGAAGGTTAAGACTGAGCTCTTGAATGGGGCAGAGAGGTTCACTTCTTTCAGAGGAATCAGAAATGGTTCCATTTAAAAAAAATGTGTTGGTAATTCTCCTCAAGGCACACACCTTTATCTGCTCATAAGAGACAGCTAATATAGAAGAAGGTGTGACAGAGCCTGTGGATGGAGTCAAAATAGGAATCAACCTAGAGTCTCTACATAGTCACAAACAGACTAAGTCCACCCCTTCTTGAATTCTGTTATGCTTATCTAATCTAATCAAGATCGTGCTAACAGTAGTTGAGTAAATTCTTGTGCAAAGGCATGATTAGTAATAAATCAGTTCAATTGGAACATCATGTGTGGTCCTGATCTTTTGCCCCTGACAGCTAAGGACTTACCAATTGCAGTGTAATAGGCAGCAAATCCAGTATATCTTTCTTCATTGGAAAAGTCAGACTGAAATAGGATAGTCAAACTATTGTAGGGCACATGGAGTTCTTCCAGGATAGGAGAACCCCGTGCGCGCCTCGTTTTTCGTCCACAGAACTGACCCTCCACCTGTTCACCAGACAGGACCTGGAAGAATCAGATGAACAAGAATAAAGACTTATGTTTAACTATATTTTTATCCAAAATGCTGTAAACCGTCCTTGGAACCAGAGAACATCCTTCTTTCATATTTCTGTGCCAGTCCTTCAAGGTAGGCCGAGTCAGGAAAAAGACTCCATAAGATTGACTGGAAATTGACTATTGACTAACAGAACCTTGAAAGCCTCCCTGTGTTTTCTTTCCCCTCTGTCTTATACCCAACAGAGTCAAGATGGAGTCATTTTAGGATTCCTCTCCCCCTTCTGGGTTTCAAACATGGTTTCCTACAGTAACGCAGTGGCAGATATTGACCAAGGTCATCTCTGGGTTTCATGACAGCAGCCCTTTGCAACAATCCTCAATGCTCTTTTGCCAGAATGCAACAAGTGTAGCCCATAAACTCCCCTTTTGTGGCTCTTAGAGCAGTAGAGTCTACAAGGTTGCCTCTTTTTTTGTATGCTGGGATGCTCTGAGGAGGTTTAAGGTAAAAATTGCCCTTTTGCATTTCATTTACCATGATTTCAAAATGGCCCCTTAATGCCAAACCTATTTTGTCATCTAAATGACATCAATATCATCCAGCAATATTTGCCCTTCGTCCCCTTTTCTGTTCATGTCACCCAAAGTTTAATTTTCTCAGAAAATGGCTGCTTTTCTAGAATCACTGAAGTAAAGGCCTCTAATACACAGTGTTATCCAAATGATGAAGTGGGCATAGAGAAATCACAACACAAGCTCCATCCATTCTTACTTGCATGAAGACATTGCATGTATAAGTTCATAAGGGGTAGAATTTGGGTTGCAACATTACAACACACGATTCATCACTTGCTTCCACTTCCCCATCCAGCCTCCAGGTAATGATCCAGAGGTCCAGGCATTTCTGAAGCTACTCCCTTCCTGAAAGCTGGGATAACATGTCCAAGACTTTGTTCATGCTTTCAGTTTATCATTCAATTATCTTTTCCCTCTATTCCTTCAGAATACAGATGTGCGCTGTCCTGGGCCAGCATTGTGATAATAGCTGTAGTGGATGGCTAAACATGGCATTTATTTTAAATATTCTTGCCATTTAAAGATAGCAGCAGACACTAAGATCTTAATTTACTACCCACCCACCCCATCTTCATATATTATAGGGAAATTAAGATGGCTGTCAGAGACTCCTCCCCTAAGCATTCGTGTCTCCTGCTGCTGCTGCCATTAAATATTTGTTTTAACAAAGAGTGTTGGCTGGTCCACAGGAAAAAAGTACTATAGGTTTTTAAAAATAATAAAAAAACAATCAGGAACATGAACAGGGATGAGAGGGATGACAAGCAGGCACTCTCTGCCAAGATTCCTTGAGGGAAGTAGCCGTCTTTGCTGGTGGGGGGGAGTTCAGAAGGCTTTTGGAGCTGTGAAAAGGCTGGATCTGTGTCCAGATGCCATAAGGCTGGAATGAAAAACAAAAAGCTAACAGTAGATCATGACAAATGAGAGGGTTGAAGGCTCCCATGTCTGGAATTTGGGGTAAATGTCCTGTACTCAGAATATTGTGAATTAGGTAAACTCACTAGCTTGGAAATGTTCTACCCATTTGGGGTTGTGTGCCAGTTATGAACACAGCCAGAGAACAATCTAGCACAGGGATTCATGTCCTAGAAACTTTCTATTTGAGGTTACCATAATGGACTTAACTGAAATCTACAATACAGAAGCAGGCAAAGTAGTTAATTCATTCATTAGTGGTAGCACAGGTGTGGTCTTAGTGTGGAAACAATATTCAACTCTCTTCAACAATCCATATCCTTAACTTTTACACATCACCAGAAAAATTTTATATCTTGCTTGAAATAGTTTCCTAGCTGGGTGTTTCAGTACACAGCCTGGCAAACGTCAGCCTACACACATCTCCATTCTCAAGTTTCCAACAGACAAATATGCCCCTGTACCTTCACAAAGTCATATTCACAGTTTTGAGATGGCTCGATATCCAGGTGGGTGAAGTAGAGATGAATGCCATAACCAGGAGGAACCTCTATTTTCCAGGATTCCAGAGCCTCATTGGGATATGCTTGAGGATAATTTGGAGACAGAATTTCTCCATGCATGGATATTGCCTCGGTGTAGGACAGGAAGAGGAAGGAAATGAAGCTCCTAAAAGAGAAAAATCAATATTGGGCAGGGCTGTCAAACTCACACTCCGCCCCTGGACCAGGGGTGAAATCCAGCAGGTTCTGACAGGTTCTGGATAGCGGATATTTTGAGTAGTTTGGAGAACTGGCAAATGCCACCTCTGGCTGGCCCCAGAGTTGGGTGGGAATGGGGATTTTGCAGTATCTTTTCCCTGCCACGCCCAGCAAACCACCCCCACCAAGCCACACCATGCCACTAAGCTATGCCCACAGAACCGGAAAAAATGTATTTGGAAGATCTTCCAGCTTGGACATCCTGATTTTTCCCAGAGGTCCATGGCTAATAATATACCATTGCTTAAGCCATAGTTAGTTTGGCTCTAATGCATGGGTGGTGGGACACAAACATGTGCAATCTGAATGTCCTTGCAACCTCTGCGAGATCATGTTGATGGAAAAGAAAAGAAAAGAAATGTCCTTGCACACTCCTTTTCAGTGCAAAAACCTAAGAACAGATAATGAGGAGGAATATGCTGCTTGCCTTGAACAGAAGTGACTCCACAAGTGGCTCGCTCAGAAAGCCATGGGGAATGCACATAGTATGAAGACTTTAGCTTTCCATCCCATACACTATAGGCTGTAACAATCACAGCAACTTGATTCAGAGCCTCCAAAGGACAATGGGGTTTTTCCTGGCCCTTACTATTGGCCCAGATGAGATACTGCTGCCAGAAAAGTCACTCTGCTAAGTGAGGCTGTGCAGCAGAGGTCCTAGACACGAGACGGGAGCAGCTGGGAGCCCTGGAAAGATGCAGTTATTCAAGTGGATTGTGGGACATCTTCTACCACCCTGACTTTCATCTGGAAGTGGCCTTCCAGCAAAGAAAGTAATTAACCAGAGTCCCAAGTTATTTGTTCAACAATCCTCTGTTCATTCAGTAACTTACCATATCTGTAAGAGCACCATCCTTATTCCTTCCACAAAGTCACAGAATCATGAGATTTAAGAGAACCCAGCACCCTGCTCAGTGGGACGTTTCCTCCCCTGAAGTGTGCCTGGTGGATGAACAGAATAATCAAGTGAAAATCCCATCCCCAAAGAATGGAACTAGCATGAATTCATTGTCTATAATTTCTCACCGTCAACTAGCAAGTAAAACCATGTCCTAAAGGTATGTTGAATTTTATAAGGTGCACAATGTGACCGGAGACTCCACAGAGCCAAAAGGTTTGGAGCTCAACTTGACATAAAGCTACTTCTAACTTTCTTTTAAAAAGTATCATACCCGCTTCAAAGAGCGGGGATCTCTTGGAAGAAGCATCACCTCTTAGGAAACTAGAGCAGAAAACTTAATCCCAAAATAGATACTCGGCATACCTATTTCTGAAAAGGAAATTGAGAGTGATTTACCTTTAACGCCTTGTCTCTGCAGCTGGACCTCTCTTTCTGTTTGCCTTTTCTGCCTCTCTCCTCTACCAGCACTGAACAACATTTCTATTCAGAAACAATGGAACTTCGTTAAGGAACACTGTCTCCCTCTGCTGTTTAAAATTTTTATCTTTCATTTCTTGTAGCCCTAAACAATTCAGCCAACGAAAACCATATTAAAATAATTCAGTTGCACAAGTCTTATTTTTGCTAGCCTTAGATCAACCAAAGAGGGATGGTTGATTTTTTTTTTCAAATAAGTCAGGTGACTTCTGAGAAGCAAATAAGGGAAATTCCAAATTCCACTTTGAAAACAAATTTACAGAATTGCGCAATTATAGTGGCCAATTGCTTTTACAAGCTTAAATAATTGACTTTGTCATTTAGTGACCTTTAGCTTAAGCTTATTAAACACACAAACACACACACACACACACACAAACACACATTATCATATATCAGCTTCAAAACAAGTAAATAAAACAGAAATCCAAGATAGCCATAAAGAATGCCACAGAAAGAAGGTCAATTGATGCAAATATTTGCAGCAGATTTATTCAAGTTTTATGGAGGATGCATACCAAATGCAATGCAGTGAATGAATTCTTATTAGCATGGGAATAATTCAGTCTTCAGGGGAGACTGCAAGATTAGCTGTGTATATAAGATCTTGGCAACCTTTTCAAGTCTAAGGTCCACAAGCAGTACTAAACCAAGAACTGGGAGTTTCCCAGATCCCCCCCTCCTCCTCCAGATTCCAGACTGGGGAACAGTGCTTTCTACAAAGCCTATGTGAGATTGCTAGCAGACTGCCAAAGAGTGATGGACTGCTGGAGAACAGCATGCTTTCCTTAAAGAGATCATGCTTCCAAGATACCTACTGCTCAGCTATGTCACTGGCTGTTATGAGAGGGTGCTACTATATTGAGGAAAGCATTGATCAATGACCTGACCACCTGAACCACCTGTCAATCAACATTGACTCTTGACTGGCAACTATGAATATAAAATTGATTCTTGAGTTGAACATTCTTGAGCTGAAGCACTTCCTGCATGTCCTTGAATTGATCCCACACCAAATGAAATTTGTGTTTCCCATTGCTGATTCCTATCTTGTTTCTCTTACCTCTCTTTCAAATCACTGCGGCCCCATGGCTTCCTTCCAAGGCAATGGCCTACAAAGACCAATGGATTTTTCACACCTTGAAACAGGGTAAGCCTGTCAGGATAAGGGAGGAAACAGTACTTTGATCCCGATTACAATAGTTCTACCTAAGTAACAGTGGTGTTTTCTGAAGTGCTTCCCAGATCATACTTGGACTCTTTATGTGTATGGACTTAGCATTCTTTAGAAAGAATGCTAGACATATATTAAATCAATCTTTATTATTGTCAGAAACTAGCCTACTGTTAGTTCTTTATTTAAAAACTGGGATTGGGAAAAACAGGTGGACTTTGCCAGCTATATGTTGATGGGTCTCTCATCAATTAATGCATTGCAGAATTTCTGCAGCTTTAGCCTTCATGTGACTATACTCTTTTTACTGTTTGAGATGCTGGCCACCACTACTCTCTGACACCACTGTCATTTTCTTGCAGTGCTTATTCATTTTCAATCCCCTTCCTCTTCTCCTCTGTTCACTTGTGATGGGCAGGGGGAGATGGGCTGCTCCTTTGGGACATGGGTTTAGCACTCTTTCAGAAAGGTGATGGTGTAGACCATCTCTGTGACTGGAGGCTTTCAGACAAGTAGAGGGCTAAATCAGCCATTCTAAGCAATCACCTAACCTCATTCATATCTGTGTTAAGGCGATGGCAAGTGGGGGGTCGCCTAGGCCAGTGGTCTCCAACCTTGGCAACTTTAAGACCTGTGGACTGCAACTCTCAGAGTTCCTCAGCCAGCTTCAACCCTGGGAGTTGAAGTCCACAAGTCTTAAAGTTGCCAAGGTTGGAGACCACTGGCCTAGGGGATGTAGCTGTTAATGGTTTTGATCATTTTTACTTAGCTGCTGTATTTATATTTTTAATTGCTGTTTGTTGCTCAGAGTCTGAGATGGGTATGCCCCCACACTTACAATTTACCTATTATCTACTGTATTTTATTGTATTTTCATCACTGCTTTATCTTATTTATGTCTATTAAATTCCACTATTCAGTATTTCCCAATACTGTTTCCCCCATATTTGTTTCCTGGATAAAATCAGTTAAAGAAGAAAAAGCTGCACAATGTCTCTTGTTGCTAACGTTGGGAGACTTCTATTTGGAACCCCTCCAAAATGAAGACTCATCTATTTCCCAATACTGTTTCTCCCCCCCCCCCCTTTTGTTTCCTGGATAAAATCAGTTAAAGAAGAAAAAGCTGCACAATGTCTCTTGTTGCTAACGTTGGGAGACTTCTATTTGGAACCCCTCCAAAATGAAGACTCATCTAACCCAGCTGGTCTTCAATCATATTTTAAAATATCCTTCCCACCTTATATATAGAAACAGCAGAGGGCAGCAGACCACAAGAAATTCATGCCTACCAGCTCTATTTGTTCTCTCTGTCCATGGACTAACTCTCCCTCACTAAAGCCAGGAAACAACGCCCAGATTTCATTGATATCTTGTTATCTCTCCAAAGCTCAAAGAAGGGAAAGAAACAGAAAGATTAAAACATGTCTACAAATATCAAATGCAACAGGTTAAAGTGTAAAGATGGGCAACCGTTTGCCAATGACTTACAAAAAGAGGAGTTTTAAAAATGGCTAGGATTAAACAACAATATTACAAGAAATCTTTCATTGTGAGCATTGCCCTGCAAGTACATGTTAAGGAATGCAGTGGGATTTCTGCTGTGTTCGTAATGCCATCAGGAGTGACACAACATTTGTTTATGCCCCAAGCATGCCCTTCCTCTATGAACATCTCTCCCCCGAGGAATAGTTTTGGATTATTTGAGCCTTAGATCCTCCATGACTAAAACAAAAACTTCTATGGAAAATTGGAAGCTATCCATGGAGGAATGAGCTAGGAATTCAGACATTTCAGAGAACATATTGAGACATTTCTTGGAAGATTTCAAGCTTCCAGAAAGGAATGTATTGAAACAGTTTTTGGAAGGTTTGAAAATGCTAGAATTTCCAGAAGAAGGTAGCAACATTATTTTGAATGCCAACAGAAGTGAATCCCACAATACAGTCTAAAGTGATAGTGTGGTACAGTGGTTAGAATGCCAGATTAGAAAGCAGGATACTGTGACTTCTAGTTCTGCGTTAGGCATGAAACACAGCTGGATGACTGAGACAATTATTCTCTCTCAGCCCAGCCCAACCCAACTTATACCGTTGTGTTTATGGAGGAAACAAGAGGATGAACAAGTATGAAGTGGGGCATCTTGAATTGTAAAATATTTTATTTATCTGTAAAATTGATTAGCCACCCATCTTACCTCAGAGTAAGATATAAAATACAAAGGCAGGAAATAAATCAAAACCAATCATAGAGTTGAATTAATTTAATCCTGTTTATCTTCTATATTCTAGTTTTAAAATCGGCATCCATCTCTTAAGATATTCGTAACTGGACAAAGAGGATAAATATTATTGAATTGTTTTTGCTGTCTCAGCATGTTTTTTTATATTTTTAATGTAAGAAAAGCAGAGATTTGTGAAAGCTAAGGAAAATATTTAGGAACAAAACTTGAGAAATCAAGAAATCTCAGAGGTGAGAGGGGAAATTAGGATTTGAATATAAATGAATCTCAATCCCATTAGGTTATATTCAGTTGTTTGCAGCTGACTATGAGGAAAGCCTGCAAGGAAAGTTTTGATGGGCTGCAGCTCCCTGGTGACCATTAATTCATCCTTTATCAGACTGTGGGTCATGGATAGCTACTGAAAACTTCAACATCAGTCTAGTTCCGCATCTAATATTTTCTAGCTAAACTTGCAGGCAAAATTATGCAAGAGCCCCATGAAGGTGTAGCTCAATATTAGCTCAAACTTGCAAGATGTTGGGTCTAGATGCAAGTTACTAATTTGGAATCAAGGAAAAAAGCTTTCCATGCTTGAATGCAATTATCATTTATTATTTCTGTATTGGGGGACAGGGGTTTCCTTCTCAAGGCAATTGAAAATACTGCTTCACAAACCATGGTAACACTTCCCCATGCTTTTGCTACTATACACATCTTAACTCAACACAACAACCACCTGCAAAACTATGATAAAACATTGCAAATAAAGAAAAAAGGAAGTCCCAGTTCATCCTTGGAAATTCAGGTTTTTTTTAAATGTTTCTCCTTTCTTCAAGACTTCTGGTTGTAACCAGTCACTTCCTCTCCCTCTCAGTCTTTTTTGCTCATCCCGGAGGGCTTCAAATGTAAGGTGCCAATATTTCAATTTCACTCTCTCTGCCTTTGCCACACACTGACATTCCAGGTCACCTTGACATTATCTTGGTATGGTGCAGAACAGTGTTTTTCAAACATGGCAAATTTAAAATATGTGGACTTGCACTCCCAGAATTGCTGATTGAGAAATTTAAGAGTGAATGCTCATACATCTTAAAATTGCCAAATTTGAAAGACACTGGTTTAGAATAAAGAGGAGTCACAACCTTTGCAGAAAGCTTCTTGCACCTGGTATAGAACCAATGGCTTCCTGAAAGAGCCTGTGCAAGAGGGGGGGGGGGTGAGTCTGTAAACATAGCTTTAGGCACAGATTTGAATGGAAAATGCATCTGCCACATGGTGCAGTGGTTAGAGTTCAGTACTGGAGGATACTTCTGCTGACTGCTGGCTGCCTGAAATTTGGCAGTTCAAATCTCACCAGGCTCAAGGTTGACTCAACCTTCCATCCTTCCAAGGTGGGTAAAATGAGGACCCAGATTGTTGGGGGCAATAGGCTGACTCTGTAAACTGCTTAGAGAGGCCTGGAAAGCACTATGAAGCGGTATATAAGTCTAAGTGCTATTGCATAACTTTCTTTCTTCAGGATTAAAAAACTGACTTTCCTCAGCCTCCTAAATGAACTATCAGTTATCAAATTTA